AGGGGGGGGAAGTGATTTTAATATTTGTTTTTATTTCTCATTACCCTTCTCTGATTTGATTGGTAATAAATTAAATTAATTTCCCAAAATCAAGTCTGTTTTGCCCATGATAGTAATTGGTGGCTGTCCTTATCTGAATCCACAAGCCTTTCATTATAATTTTCTCCTCTGCCCAGTTAAGGAAGGGAGTGATGGAAGGGCTCGGTGGGCACCTGGTGTCCAGCCATGGTCAACCCACCACAGCCATTTAACAAATCATTAAGGTTTTTATGAAACCTTAAAAACATCTAACTTAATCTATCAGCAGGGCACCAAAGCAAATCCTAAACCAGAGGAACTTATCAAGAAAAACTGTAGAACATGTGTAATAAAACCTGTAAAGCAGAAGGCATCTTATTCAGATAGTTAAAATTAAAAGCATATAGCTCAAACTCTTCTGAAAACAGCAAAGGGACATCCCAACTTGATGTCAGTAAAGTTGAAAGCCCGTAATGAAAGGACTGGACAGAAGAAAAAGTGACCAATGGAGAGCAAAATCAGAGGTCAGAGACTCAATCAGAAAGTACACTGTAAAGCAAACTTATACTCAGTGATATTCTAATTATACAAGTCAAGAGACTTAATCATCTTTCACTACACAGCAAATAATCTATTAATTGATCAAAAGAGGGTCAGCAAGGAAGTTCCTTCCCTCTACTCCCACAACATTGTATTGACTAGTTCTTGAGGATGCCACAACCTCTCCCAGCTCTGAGTCACTGCTGGGCTCACTCATCAAGACACTGACCAAGACCTGCCTATTCTAGTTCTGGAGTAAAAGTCTGTCCCCTCAGAAGTCAGAGGAAGCAAAGTGCCAACACTGGAAGTTTCACCGAGTAGGCAAGTGATTAGGCTCATTTTCATTTTTTAAAATACTAAGCCTGAACTAACAATCTGAAGTGTTGTCACTAGAACAGGCCAAACTACAAGCATGGAGTCTGTGATCATGTGAGATTCAACAACATATAAAAGAAATCATCATTAAATTATTTTTCCAGTTTTGACTCCATCACATTTTGTAGGATGATGTTTGTAATGCTAAAGAATAATGACAACATGCAGCAAGTAAGGTTCCTGTTTGCAGTATGAGGGGACCAGAATGACTCTTAGGAGCAACAGCACTGGTATCAGCAACTGCTCAGTCAAAGGAGAAAAGTTGTTTTCTTCCATTCTAGCCTCATATTGCAATGTTTATACATTCACACTATTCACCACACAACCAGATCATACTCAGAAGACTCTGAATTTCATACACATCCCATTTTACTTTTCTCCCAACTTCCTGACCCTTCTTCTGATCACAAGGGAAGTCCTTTAAGAATGGATTTAAACATACTCAAGCATTCCACTCATTTTTTAAGTAATAAGAATTTTTCTAAGACAAGATATTTTTTCCCATTTTTGCCCATGCCTAAAGCCATCTAGTCATCTAAAGGTTACTACCATCACTATGTCAGCTTTGATAATTACTCAACTTACTGTCGTGTCTAGAAGTGCTAAGTAACTCACTGCTCTGCAGAAATGCACAGTAAGAAAACAGCCTCTGCCCTGAAGAGTCTACCAAATTAATCATCCTCGGTTCACTTACTGGGTCATTTTTTAAAGTTCTGGGGTTTTTTTTTAATAATTTGCCATTTTTAACTTTTCCTATGAAGGAGTTTGTAGCTTACTGAAAGACTGCTTCAGAGTAGGGTATACTTAAACAAGATTGCTTTTGAGTGTTTTTAATGGCTTTTTTCTGTCATTTATGTAAATACCAGTCCTGACTACATCAGTACAAACACCTATGAGGCACTGTACCAAATAAGCCCAAAGCAAAAGACACATATTTGCAAGAACTTGCAGATTTAATTCAAACTAGAAACATCTTCAAACAAACAAAAATTTAAAAAGATCCAGAAAAGCTTCCAGTATCAAAATCTTTAACAGCAAGAAATTTTAAAGATATTTAGAGAACTTTTAAAGAAGTTCAAGTACCAGTCAATTTTTCTCAGTTATCAGTATTCCATCAGACACTGTCAAAGAAGTTACCTAACTTCATGAAATAACAGCACAATCAGACTGGCAAAATGCACTGAATTTTTCTGGGTTCTACTCTGGCAGGAAAATAAAATAGCAGCTATTTAGAAACTAATGCATAGCATTTACATAAATTCTATGTTACGTCATAAAAAAATGTTTCTTCCCTGTGTACACTAGAGAGATACAGAATTCAGTTCTTATTTTCCAATCTACCATTACAAAATAAATAGAACAAAAATGTTTACTATACTCTTACTACACTGTTGACCAAGATGCCCTGAACACGCATATAACCACCCTCAGAGAGTGTACTTTAACCTGGAACTTGCCTTCTTTTGGAAGTGTGGCAAAAGTAAAACAGCAAAAAATCTGCAGAACACCCATTTCCTTAACACATGATGCCCGGAACAAACACAGGACAGGATGGAGATCCGGCGATTTGTGTTGCCGTGGCACCAAGGAGGAATGTGAAGCGAAGTGGAGGCTGCGTGGTCCTGTTCTTCCACATTTCTCAAGGAACATATGACATAACTATGCAGATTTATCTCCTTCTCTTCCCTTTCTCTCAAGGACTGTTTTGCAGTACTCTTCGGACCTTATCTCTCACACCCTGCACCAAGGAATGTGCTATGTCCTTACTCAGGAAACAATGGCTTGATCACAGTTCCACCAACTCACACATACATACTTAAATACTACCCTGAGTTTGTATCTAACTTGGAGGGACAATAATCTGATACCAAACTGGAGGGACAGACCAGTGGGTTTGTGCTCCTCACCCCACCCAGAAATGATGCCTTTTGGTAAGATTTGGGCCCTCAGCTACACGGAGTGATTACTTGAGAATTAAGTGTGTGTGATTGCAATCAGTTTTTATGAGTAGTGCTACACAGCCAACCTGCAGTTTGTGCATTTATCATAGGCAATCTCAAAGAATCTGTAGATGTTGCATAAGAATAAGCCATGCTATTCATGAACCTGCCTGCTTCTCTTAAATGCAACCGGATCTACAGCATATATGGGCTGTTCGTGCATCTGGTGTCAGGCCTATAGTTATGGCCATAATTGTCATACCTATTAGAGGTAAGTCCAGCCACCCCAGGCCCTCCAATCTTTGGGGACCAGCTAGAACACAAGGAGATTCATCTCTTACCAAATTAATTAATTAATTACCTTAAATGCAACACCTTCCTTGCTTTCAGGATCTTCAATTTCATCACCTAGTGTCACGGCAGCCAAGGCTGCCATCCATCATCTTCTACATTTTTGAGTAGCAGAATTAGCAACACATTTTTCCTAGTCAGCTCATTAATCACAGAATCACTGAATCATCTAGGTTGGAAAAGACCTTGAAGATCACCTAGTCCAACCATTAACCTAACACAGCTCTCAACTCCACCATATCCCTAAGTACTTGCATGAAAGAAACCATCTCAGCACCCCAGAAAAAACTCCTCAATGCCTTGGGCCCTGTCACGTTGCATCCC